GATTAATATCGTTATGCGGGGGTCCACTGTACTTTTCATTGTGAAACCAATCAGTATCATCTCAATTTCTGTAATATGTCTTCCATTCTATAAAATGAGACCAGGAAAACTAGAATATACCTACCATCCGACTTACTACCTGCTCGACTTACGACCACTCGACTTACGACCGTGTTTTTTATGCCAAATTTCTGGGAAATAAACGACTATTTGTGTTGTATACAGTGTTTATCCTAAACCTTAAAGTATAAAATACAGTACTAACAACATAAAAAGTAAAGTAAAACATGAAATACCAAAATAAAACAATAAAATAGTCATTACAAAAATGTTTTGTTGATATTCAGTAGTAAAGTTCGACTTACGACCGGTTTCTCGGAACTGAACTCGGTCGTAAGTCGGATAGTAGGTGTACAACCATAAATAGCATACGAAAATACACTGCAAAGTCGCTGTTTTATAGCAAAAACACGGTCGTAGTTTTCTTTTTCTCATTATGCACTGTGTGCTGCGGGATTTCTTTTATGCTGTGCACACTGATCACATAGACCCATTCTTTCATATGTAGGCCTACCAGTTTTCTCTCGCTAGATTTGAAGGCTCTAGAATTTATGCGTACTAGTACGGCACCAACCCTGGCGTGCAAGCCGTACTAGTACGGCACCAACCCTGAAAGGGTTATTACAATAAACCATAGCACGGGTGGGATTAGAACTCGCGGGCAGTCTCAAAACTACAGACTGCTGCGTTAGCCACTGTAAAAACTTGCATTTGTGGTCACAACGGTGCCTATGCTAACCTTCCTATGGTGTAGAAATATACCTAGTTGGATGAATCTTATTGAAGCTAGCTGGCCCAATGGCTAACGAGACTGTCTGGAGTTTTGAGACTTTCTGACTGTGGGTTCAAACCCCACCCATGGAATGGTTTGTTTGCAATTGTCATTACGATTTCGTGAGTCATGTTAATATAATACTTATGGTTACAAAGGTAACATAAATATTTTTTGCCTTAAATTATGGTTACTGATGTACATTGATAATTTTGAAAGAAGTGGAGAGGGATGGTGTGACCCTACTGGGCTGAGATGGAAGGTTGTGAATAGTTGGCTGAGGCTCTTGCACTGATGTCATTGGTTGTACTGGAATACCAAGGATTTCTGAAATGTATCTTTGATTTGTTTAACCCTTCAGTACTTTATATAGCTGTTGGTAAGGTATCAGGTGCTTCAAACCCTGTTTCAGAGCAGTGCTTCTAGATTTGTTAGGCTCCTCTTCAGAGAGAAACGTCTGCAAATTTACCAGTATGAAATTGCTCACATAACTGTTTCTCTGCAGGTTCTTCTTCATCATAGTCTGTTATCTGCCTCTGTACGAGGACAATGAGCTCTGTCAACATTTTCTCTTTCTTTTTCATCTGCAAATGTTAAATTTATGCCAGAAGTCTGGCACTCCAAGGACCGAGTCAGCGTCCATTGCTGCAACAAGTTCCTACATGACACTTTTTGTGTGTAGTTATACTCAAATTTCCTAGTAATTCCACAATCCAGTGGTATTAAATTATATTTGGCAAAAACACAGCTTATGCATGTTGATGCACATCCACTAAGAGGTCTGGATGAGTATGGGAATTATCAAGAGTGAAGAGAACCTTGAATGTAAGTTTCAAAGCATGGGGAGTCTTGGAGCCTGATACATTACTGCACAGTAAAAAGCTAAAGTGATCCTTTGCTGCCTTCAATCACAGAGCACTTTTCTCTTGCTGGCAGGTTGTGGCTTATAGCCACCTTCAAAAATAATTTCCTCCAATTCAGCAAGGAAATTTCTTGTAGCTGGGTGGTCAGGAGAAGCACTTTCACCAGAAAATGTAATATGCAATAGGTTGTGGCACCAACCTATACTAAACCACTCTCACAACTACTGGATCACTATGATATGGCCTTGGATGCACTGGAAGAAAATCAGAATGCAGATGTAATATACACAGACTTTGCAAAAGCGTTTGACAAGTGCGATCATGGCGTAATACGTTCTAAAGGAATAACTGGCAAAGTGGGGAGATGGATCATAAACTCCCTAACCAATTGAGCACAAAGAGTAGTGGTCAACAGAGTTAAATTGGAGGCTGCCATAGTGAAGAGCTTTGTTCCACAAGGCACAGTACTCGCCCTCATCCTGTTCCTCATCCTCATGTCAGACATAGACAGAGGTATAACCCACAGCACTGTATCATCCTTTGCAGATGATACTAGGATCTGCATGAGGCTGTCATCTGTTGAGGACATGGTTAACCTCCAAGAAGATATAAACAAAGTTTTCCAGTGGGTAACGGAAAACAGTATGATATTCAATGAGGACAAATTCCAACTACTCTGTTATGGAAAACTGGAGGGGATAATAACTAGAACAAACTCTGGCCATACAATAGAGCAGAAAAATAATGTAAGGGACCTGGGAGTAGTAATGTCTGAGGATCTCACTTTCAAGGATCACAACAGTGCCACGATCACAAGTGCAAAGAAAATGATAGGATGGATGAGAACGTTCAAAACGAGATGCCAAGCCAATGATGATCCTTTTCAAATCACATGTTCTCTCTAGGCTGGAATACTGCTGTACATTAACATCCCCATTCGAAGCAGGTGAAATTGCAGATCTAGAGAGTGTACAGAGAACCTTTACTGCACATATAAGTTCTGTCAAGCACCTTAACTACTGGGAACATTTGGAAGCACTTGACTTGTACTTGTTGGAACACAGGAGAGAGAGATATATCAATCTACACTTGGAAAATCCTGGAAGGAATGGCCACGAATCTGCACACAGAAATCACTCCCTACGAAAGTAAAAGACTGGGCAGGCGATGCAAAATACCCCCAATTAAAAATAGGGAGGCCATTGGTACACCATAAGTGTCCTGGGCCCAAGACTGTTCAACAGCCTCCCATCAAGCATTAGGGGAATTGCCAATAAACCCCTGGCTGCCTTCAAGAGAGAGCTGGACAGATACCTAAAGTCAGTGCCGGATCAGCCGGGCTGTGGTTCATACATTGGACTGCGTGCGGCCAGCAGTAACAGCCTGGATGATCAGGCCCTGATCCACCGGGAGGCCTAGTCATGGACCGGGCCGCGGGGACGTTGATCCCTGGAATAACCTCCAGGTAGACTCCAGGTAGGCCTTCCTTCTTCAACATAGTTTTATAGTACTCAAAAGTTTCTTCCATAATTAAGATGAAATTAAGTGGGGCACCATTGTTGGTTTACTTCTCAATCCATTTTTTTAATAACAAGGGTTTCTATTAGTACTTTATACAATGTCAGTTACTCGAATGTCCATTGTATCCTGTACTCCACTTTACAGAAATAGGTTGGCTGTGTTTGTCTTTTCAGGTGGTCACAATCTGAGTTACTCATTGCACAGGCTCTTATCTTTTCATTCCATTTAATTGAATGAACTGATGCTTCACTGAGACCATAGGTTTGTGCCATCTCCATCACACGTGTAACACTTGACGACATAGATGAGGGAATAAATAGCGTCATAGCAAATTTGCTGATAACACCAAAATAGGCCGTCCAATTCATTTTATAATGAGAACATTAGAGCACTTCAGGATGATTTGAATAGACTCGTGCAGTGGTCAGAGAAGTGGCAGATGCAGTTTAATATAGACAAATGCAAAGTTCTAAATGTTGGACAGGAAAATAACCATGCCACATATAAACTAAATAATGTAGATCTTAATAGGATTGCGAAAAGGATTTAGAAGTTCTGGTTAGTAGTAATAAAAAACCAAGATGACAGTGCATTAATGTTTGCAATAAAGCTGACAGAATCCTTGGCTTCATAGCAAGAAGTATAAATAATAGAAGTCCTCAGGTTGTTATTCAACTCTATATATCTTTGGACAGGCCTTATTTAGATTATGCTGCACAGTTTTGGTCACCATATTACAAAATGGATATAAATGCACTGGAAAACACAAAGGAGGATGACAAAGTTGATCCCATGCATCAGAAATCTTCCCTATGAGGATAGACTGAGGGCCCTGAACCTGCACTCTCTAGAAAGACGTACAATTAGGGGGATATGATTGAGGTGTATAAATGGAAAACAGGAATTAATGAAGGGGAAGTAAATGGCATGCTAAAAATATCTAACATAGACAGGACTCACAGCAATGGCTTTAAATTGGAAAAATTCAGATTCAGGAAGGATATATGAAGGCACTGGTTTGGTAGTAGAGTTGTGGATGAGTGGAATAAACTCCCGAGTACCGTCATAGACACTTAAGACGGTGTGTGGTTTTAAAAATGGGTATGGGTGGTTGTGAGTTGGACCTGACTAGCTTTTGCTACTAGGTCGGATGTACTGCTCCTCCCTTAAGTGATGTCTGACCTCGCTAGGCTTAAGCCGGCAGGAGAATTGGAGCTGCCTCACATAGGCCAGTGGGCCTGTTGCAGTGTTCCTTCTTTCTTATGTTCTTATCTTCAGAATGCAAACATTCATGCTTAAGCTGCTTCTCATCACTTCCAGCATCACTTGCATTCCTCTTGGGTGCTATGGTTACTACTCAGACATGACAAGATATGATGAAAAGATAAAAAATATTCACTAACAAAGCTGAGTATGGTATAGGGTATGTATGCATGGAGAACCAAAGCATTGGAGGTTGTGACTAGGCCTCCCCCATAAAGACAATGGCTTGACCCATAGGTTGGATGCAAGGCGGAGGAGAAAGCTCCCGCAATATTCCGCATTTTCAAACTAAATTTATACCTTCATAAACAACACAGCATGGTGATTAACAAAATGCCCCACTATTTTCAACAGTCATATATTGAAAACATAATAAATCGTGTCTTAATCAGTGGCCTAATAAACATAAATTTTTTTGTTATAATGCCTGTCAGTTAACCAGTTAAGTTATAAAATACATTTCATAATTTACTGTATTGTTTATAACTTAGAGTACATATTTGAATGATTTTCTTTTACAGGGAAGAAGGGCTGTATCATGGACTCTATAAAGGTCTTTCTTTGAACTTCATTAAAGGACCAATTGCTGTGGGCATCAGTTTCTCCACATTTGATACACTAAAATTATCTCTAGAACAAATTCTGATAAGCAGATAACAGCTTTAGTTACACACATTTGAAATATGTTGTATTTAAAAAAGTTCATCTTGGTTGATAAACTAAATTTTCTGCCTAAAATGCAAACTAATCATTTGTGCATGTTAAGAGGTAAATTAATAATGCAGTCTTGGATTTAGTCACTTTGGGATTTAGGAACCATTAATATTTAAAGTTCATGGCAGTCTTTATAGCTATTAATATAGTACATTAGATTTTATATAAAAGTGTTTAAAGAGCACCAGTGAATGAGAAATTATGGTAAAGCAAATTAACTTGTTGCATTGGACCAAATGTGCAATCACTTTTTAAGTACATATTCATTTTTAGTATAGGTAACTTAGTGGTACTGCTGCAGTTTTTTTTTTTTTTTTTTTTTTTTTTTTTTTTTTTTTTTTAAGAAATTGAGCTGTAATTTATATGCAGTGTGTATATTTTTTTAACACATTGGCTGTCTTTCTCACCAAGACAGGTGATCCAAAGAATGAAAATATTCACCCTTACATCCTCCATCTGTATTCACTATTGCAATAGCTGAGCACTACTGGCAGATTTAGTTCCTAATTTTTTTAGTATTACTGCCTGAAATAATGTATTTCCATATTGTATATACAGGTATCCAAGAGGTAGTGTGTATGCATATTGCAATGATAAATATGCAAGATTAAAAAGTTGTCAGTATTCTTAAAACATGCATAGATGCAGACCATTCAATTTTGCATAACAAAGTGTTTTAGAATATTGATAGAAAGGTTATGTTGAGTAGTCTCCAGTTCAAAGCTGCATGTCTTATAGTAAATTGTCCTGATAAAAAAAAATTGTTGGAAACATGTGAATTTAAGATACATAAAGGAGTAAATTATCTGATTAATCCTTTGGGATTTGAAACATTTTGTATCACTGTGGAAAAGTATATATTATATAAAAATTATATATTATTTGATATAAAATTTAAAGAAATCAGTAAATGAAAATTAGGTAAAATAAGCAAATTAAATTGTTGCATTGACAAATGTGCAATCAATTTTAAAATTATATTAAATTTTTAGTAAAGTAACTAGTGGTCTTGCAGTTTTTTTTTTTATATTTTTTTTTTTTTTTTTTTTTTAAATTGAGCTGTAATATATGCATGTGCAATATTTTAACACATTGGCGTCTTTCTCACAGAGTAATCCAAAGAATGACACATTCTCACACTTAATCCTCACTTACTGCTCTGCCAATAGCTGGCACAACGGCGATTTAGTCCTAATCTCTGTATCTCTCCTGAAATCCAGATGTCTTTATGGTATATCGTTATTCCAGTGTATTGTAATGATATCAATGTTAAAATTTCAAAAATTTCAGTACTCGTTAAACATATTTCAGATTCAATTTTGCATAACAAATGTTTAGAATATTGATAGACAGTAATTGTTCAGGATATGTTGCCAGTTCAAAGCTGCATGTGCGAGGGGTTGGACTTCAGCAGGATGCTGAGCGGTTTGATAGGATGATGGAGACAATGGTTTACTTATATGTGAAGTGCAGATGGTTAAGTAGTGCAAAGTTAATTATGAGGAGATCAGGTTAAACGGCAGGCGGACTTGAGATCCTGGAGCGATTGGAGTCTGAGTGGCTAGACTCTGATGAAGGAGGGGTGTAATGTTGCAGTTTAAAAACTGTAGTGTAAAGCACCCTTCTGGCAAGACAGTGATGGAGTGAATGATGGTGAAAGTTTTTCTTTTTCGGGCCACCCTGCCTTGGTGGGAATCGGCCGGTGTGATAATAAAATAAAAAAAAAAAAAAAATTGTTGGAGGAAGCAGTGAAGTAAGATAACATGAAAGGAGTAAATTATCTCAAAAAATGCTCTTGATTTGTTAAATATTTTGTTAGTCACTGTGGAAAATATATATTAGTATAAAAGAGATTATATATTACTTTCGAGTAGTAAAATTTACAAAGGTAAATTCAGTTAAATATAATGGTAGAGAAAAATATTAGAGCTAGGTAAATTAAAAAAGTATTAGATGAAAGAATTATGCTATTTAAAAGTTTTATGACAATTATGATAAAAGTAGTATAAAAAATAATCCCAATGTCTTTCATTCAAAGAATGTTTAATGCAGTTTTATGTCTACCAACCTTGCTTCATTTTCTTGCAAGCCAAGGATATGCAGCCCAACGAACAGGTCAGCATGTGGGTACTGGTTATACATTGCAAATACAGCCTCTCCTCACATAGTGATGACTCGGACTTACAATGGGCTCTGACCAGTCTGCCTGGTCACAGACCGGGCCGATGTCAAAGTTAACCCTGGAACTTCTAGTAAACCTCGGAATTATATTAGAGCTGATTTACTTTATTACTTTTTTCAATAACATTACATACTGTTAAACATTTCAAAATACAGTGGACCCGGTTAAGATATTTTTTAATTCCAGAAAGTAATGTTAGGCCAGTTAAAAGTGACAATTATTTTGGTTATCAATAAGCAATTTGTCGAATTAGAGAATGTGGAGTGGGTTAAAGGACCTTGTTCAGTTTGCTGAGCATGGATTGACCACGACAGGCAGTGGTGGACAGCATCGTTCTCATGATGATGAAGGGAGACAAATGGTTTTTAATACTTGCGTGCTGTTGGAGGGAGGCAAGTAACATTTATGAAGTGATTCAGGGAAACCGCAGGCGTACTTGAGTCTTTGGTATTGTAATTACAGTGCTACCGAAGAGTGGTGTTAAATTTCAATTGAAACCCGTTAGTATTAAATCCGTTGGTAAGAGCTAGTGATGGACGGAATTGTTTAAAGGATTTTCTGTTTTGGGCCACCCTGCCTTTGGAACCCCGGCCGTACATAAAAAAAAAAAACAGTTAGTCAATTTCAGACCCCAAATACCCTACAAACGCACTCATAAATACACTTAAAATTGGTCGCATTGGGAGGTGATCGTTAAGGGGGATCAACGTATATAGAAAGGTTTCAAATGGTGCAAGGGTGACATTAACCCGTTAAATGTCCAAACGCAGATCTATATTGTTACCGCTAGCACTCCAAACATAAATAGTTTTACTTTTCCTGTCTCCTAATTTGGCACGATTGGCCTGAGATACCTGGTCAGCATAGAATGGGTCTTAACACTCCTCGGTGTGCACAGTGTTAAAAAAAAATCTGGGACCACTTAGTACCTTGTGGAAGCAGCAGTTCAATTGAGCACCAGCTAGAACAAACAGCATGGCAAACACCAGGGATTCACTGATGTCATGTTGTATTAATACTTCCCTTTTAAGAGAAAAGTGATGTTGACCCCGAGTTTAGTGGCTTTGAGGTGGGTGCGGCCACAGATGGTCAAGAAAATATCAAAAACTTTGATAGTAACCCATGTGCAACATCCTTTCAATTTTTGTATCCTTGGTAGTGTCATCGTGTCAGAATATTCTATAACCTATGCCCTAGGTAAAGAGAAACAAATCTGGAGCGTGTAATACATATTTGGTAGGCTGGCTGGCTGATTGACTTTGGCTGTCTCTATTTCTGTCTGTCTGTATCTATGTCTATCTGTCTCTATCTCACAGGTACACACAAATACCATTATACATAGTGAAAATTACCTAGGATAACTTGAAAAATCCAGACAGTGCTATACTGTGCTTGTAGATAAAATGCATAATGAGCATGACTGGGAAGTAATACGCACTTGTTCAGGAATCAGACGTGACTACTCTGCATCATGTGTGATACCAATTGGTTCACGAGTGGCTCTCTCTGAGACAGAAAGAGAAAGAAGGAGAATGTGTAACAGTGAAATCAAATAAAGCCAAGGCAGTGCATGATCATCAAATGTCACTCCACTGCTGCACTTTCAGCAGTGGAGTGACACTCGTCTTACACCATGCTTCAAGGAGTTTCATATGTGCTCCAGCGTGTCTAAATCATTGCTGGAACCTATAAATACTATGTATATATTTCTAGACAATAGTATGTGACCAAGGTAGGTGAAAATATTCACCTGTCTGTGTTTGTGACTATTGGAGTATTATTTCAGTACCTATTATTAGTGTCGCCTCTTCAAGGGGGGGCTCCTTGGCATGGTGAAGAGGCTCTTGGTCTGAGGAATTAGACCTGTCCGTCTCCTTCCTCAGACCGAACCCAATTACCCCCCAATCCCCCCTTCCCTATCCCTTCCTCCCCTTTTTCCTTTCCTCCTCCTCCTCCCCACCCCTCCCTCTTTTTGGCCTTTGGGATTTTTCCAACAGGCGCGCTAGTTCCTAGGTAGGGGAAAGGGTACCGGGGTCCATCCCATTCCGTTGAGGTTCTTGGCGGTGGTGTAGTTTGCCGTGGAATCTGGATTGCCTGGGGGTGTCCCGATCCCTCTGTGGTATCCCGAAGGGTGGCTTTGGGTGTCTTTCGGGCGATGGGTGTATCTCTGGAAGCCACGTTTTGGATTTCGGGGGTGGTGGCCGAAGGAGGTATGCTTTGTGGCGGATATCCGGCCGCCCTCTCTTTTGTCTACCGAGGAAGCTCGGCAGATGTGAGGTTGCTATCCCGGATTGCTGGTTTACTGGCATGAAGGGTAGGGTATGGCACGGGTTCCATGCTGCATCTGCGCTACTTGCGGTGCTGAGGCCCTCTTGGGCGCGGAGGGAGATTTCTGGCCCTTTCATTCCTCCTAGGAACTATCCCTCCCCGGTCTCCCCTTTTTTTCTTAAAAACAAAAAGAAGTAACCTAACCATGGAGTCCCCAATCCATGACCCCGCTACCCCCGGGCCCCTTATTGTTACCGCACCCCATTCTGACCTTGCCTCGTCTTTTGGACACTCTTCGGACACTCCTAAGGCCCCTGTACCTCTTGCTGGTGCTGTTTCGTCACCCGCTTCAGGTGCTGGGGTTTCGACTGACTCCTTCGATTTGTCTGACCTCCACTCTCCTTTGGCTATGCTTCCGGCCTCTCCCTCTATGGTGCGGCGATTTTCAAATTGCTAGCCGGTCCCACTTCTCAACGCCAACGGCAATCTCCTGATGTTACTTTGTTACCTTCCCATTCTACTCGGAAAAGACCGACACGTCATGCACTCCCTCTCCACACTCAGTTTCAGACCACACAATGGACTAAATTCTTTACTTTAAAACCGACTTCTTCTACTGCCTATCTTTCCGACCATAGTATTGGCAAAGAGCTCCTACGCCATTTTGGTAGAGATATTTCCTTTCATGCTCTTAAGAGTGGTAAGTGCATCATCACAGTCCAGAATGCTACCCAATCTCATGATCTTTCTCATCTTTCACATATTGATACTATTCCTATCACTATCGAAAAACATCGTTCCCTCAATTCTTGTAGTGGTGCTGTTATTCTGCCCCATACCATAGTCCAACAGAATTTCCAGACATGTGGCAATGAC